AGCACACCTCTCACTGAATTTCAGTGAGAGTTGGTTACTTGATTCCCTTACTCTCTCTTATGTAAAAATCTCAGCCAAATGTCCTGTTTGGTTACAGGGTGGTGTTGCCTTCTACTTAGCTGCTCATATGCCTAAGAAGACAGACAGAATACAGGCAAATGTAAGCTTTTCCAGCAGTGCTTACAGAGGTATTCTGGGAACTAAGAATGGTTTGAAGATCCAGTCCTACCAAAATCATTTAATCACAAACATATATGTAGATACACATTAATAATGACATACAAAGAAAATGTAATTAACTAAAAAGTATAGGTAAGACATATCAAGCAAATAATTAAAATTTATAAAATGTGCATGAATCTAAACAAGTATCAACTGTATTCACTTTTTAAATAAAGTAATCATGGATGTTCTAAATTTCAAAGTCATAGAAAAGCCTCCAGCAGCTGGCCAGCCTGTTAGGGGAAAGAGAACTTCTTACCTAAGTTTTAGAAACTAAGTTTCTAAAAGTGCTAACTGGGTACATCTGCAGATAGGCATTTTATCCAGAACTGTAGTATAAGACTGTAGAGTGAAAATTTTGAGGTAGACCAGTTTTTTTAATACTCTATTGCATGGTTAAGTAGCAAAAGCTTTTACTAAATGAAGCTAAAAACATAACAATGTTTCTAATAAGTCCTACTTATTAATATTCATATTAATTGCAAATTAATTACTAATTAATATGCATATGCCTATTTTTATTCCCTATTTAAGCTGTATCTTCATTAAAATTGCATCTAACCAATATAAGACCACTAATCGTACTCTGAACTGTCTTTAGTTTCCCATTTTCCCCTGTTGTCCTGGCACTTTTTAAAATTATTCTCTCCTCTGACATTCTCTTTTTTGTTCATTTGCTTTGCTTCCTCTTTTGTCACCCAAACTTTGGTCAAGCAAATGCAATACCATATTGCCATTAAACAGCTTAGGGCCTGCTACAGTCTACAGCTCTTCTTAAAATCACTGGCCAAAATCCCACAAGAGGTAATCAAACCAACACAGAGACCTGATGAAAATCTATGAAACTAAACAGTTCCCTAAGATTATTTTTCAATAATTCTGAATGGGAGGGGAGGTATGTTGAATGAACATGGATCAGTGTGATGATGATATGGCAGATGAATCTCTTTTTTTGAAACAAAGAAATCTTAGACTCTCTGCTTATAGTTTCTTGAATCTGAATACTACAGGACTTGAAAGGGGTAACAGAGAAGTGGTCTGGGTTCATCCATATTATTTTCTTGCTCTAGTTTTATCATTGTTCAGTGTTTCTTATATTGCTTTCTATCTTGTTTTATTTATAACTGCTTTACAAAAGATTTTTAAAAATTGATCATGAGATAATTTCTTAAGATGGGCAATCAAGTCTTCAAATGCTACTATGCTTTTAATTTTTTCTCTATAGCAAACCTTTTCCCCTGTTGTTTTAGTACCCTTTAAGAGATATCTTGGTTTCTCTTAGGCTCAAGTAAAAAGGCAATACATTTTCAAGTCTAAGATAGAATATTTTTACTTACAGGGTTATTCAGTTTTTGATTCCAGAGCCTTTTTGAAAATGTCTTTCAAAAGTGATGTTTCATTGAAAATAATTCTTCACTCATAACCCACAGTTCTTTTTAATTTGTAAAACAGCTTTTGGTTATAGAAATACATACTTTAAACTGCACACTATTTTATCAAGGACATTCTTTTTGTCCGGTAGCATTCTAGATTTATTTTTATATGAGGCAGTTAATAGCCAATCAAAGGAGGTGCCAAGCACAAAAATGCAATATTGGCAGTACAAAGCAGCACCAGCAACGCTTGTCCAAATCCATTTGATAAAAGCATTAGATAGTGCTTGGGTAAATTTCATTTTCCTAAAATATAAACCACAGGAAAAAAATTGCAATGAATGAATTAATTGCAGTGAGGCAAATTAGTTAGCTTACCTTCCAGGGCAGTGAAAAGCAACCCACTCATCTGAATATCTGTCTGTGGTTGTACGAAAGAATGAAACCTACATCCACTGACTCTTTTCACTCCTAAAATATATTTGACCCAAATTCTTTCCCTTTGCTTTTTTTTTTTAATTTGTGTTTGCTGCATCGCTGACCACATCCACCTTTGTCATGTCTACAACACAGTGATTTCCTCCCCATTATGACTGAAGGAAATCTCTTTCAGATTCAAAGGCATGCTATCACAGACACACACACCCCACTGACAAGAGCACTGGGAAAATATTAAAGGGCAGGGGGAAAAAAAGGAAACCTAAAGGTATTATACATACCAAATGGTTTTGACTTTTTTATATACAATTGCAGAACTGGATGAAATTCTATAAATTCCATTCCACAGAACAGACACAGAAGGGCATATTAGGGTATACATGGGCGCATCTACATATTCAATTAATGTGCTTTAGTTCAGGTGTATTAAATCTAGTACCTCCATTGTGAGGTACTGCAAAAATGTGCATTAGCTTATTTTCATATGCATTAGGCTAAAGAGTACTTTTTGTGATGCTTTAATGTGCATTAAAATAGGCTAGTGCGCATTAAATTGCACATGTAGATGCACCCATTACTGGATATTGGGATATGTAATTAAGGAACATGGGGGTTGAGGGTTTAAACAGATACTACAGATATTGTATGACATCCTGCAGTCTTCACTTAGGGAAACGTTCCTATGGAAGTTAATGAGATTTTTGGTTGAGTAAATACAGCAGAATTTAACTTATTCATGCTAGCAGCATAAGGTAATACTGAGTCTGGCAGTCAACATTTCAAAGTAGTTGTAGAAAATAAGGATTCACTCCAGTCAAACAGACAAGGGCTTAATGTATAAGAGAAGCAAAAGGATATTTACAAGAGCTGGTTGAAAAATGTCAGATTTAAAAACTCCCCTCCCCCCAGAAAGCCATGGGATATTTTGGATGAACACTTTTGCAACAATTTCCTTTGTTTTCCATCTTACCCTACTATGACCCACACCCTGAAAGCCAAACATAAAAGAGAAATTGACAGCACTTTGGAATTCAGTAATCACCAATACTGAGGAATCACCAAGTAAGATTTTTGTCAATGTTTCCAAAACACCCTGTATTTTAGGAGTCTATGAACAGCCCAGTGAAGTCTGTTCTCAGACTGAAAATGTGGGTCAAAAGCCATAGTGACATTTTAAAATCAACCTTTAAAGAAAAAAACCCCATAGAAAACATGTAGCATAACATCTCTTCCAAGCATTATACAAACATTGACTTGTTAATCCTCACAACACCCCTGTGAGGTAGGTAAGTAATGATCATTATGTTAACTCAGCTTTACAAATGAGGAAAAAGAAACACAATACTGTTAAGGCACTTGCTGTGCCTCTTGCACCACTAGGAATGGCTCAGTTCATTAGGTCAAACAACCTAGAGTTGTTCTCTGCTGTGCCACATTTCCATTCGGTCAATTAATCAATTAAGTTACTTTATAAAAAAAAAACCCTCCAAAAGTAACAAGCAATAATACTGTTAATGAAAATAGTCCTGAAAGCTCATTCTAAACCCAAGATAAAGGATTTTGAAATACATTTGATATAAAGTCACACTCTTGAGCAAAAACATAGCCACATACACTGATGAGAAGGAGTAGTGCAAGAATCAGAACTTCCCTGGCTGCCCTAAAATCTTTGTTTATACAGTACTGGCTTCCCATTACCTTTAGGAGATAGGCTGAATTACCACTGTAATATTTGCTCAATACCAGGAATGTTATAACAACAACATTCAGAAAATCAACATTTACACACTGCTTGCTGAACATATCCAGTAAGTATTTTCAGTACAAATGACCAAATAATGTGATCTTTGCTGAATTAATCCCAAATACTTAGAGGTCAGGTACAAATTAAAGCATGTCCTGATTGACTGAGAGCAAGTACATATTAATGAATCAAGTAAAAGCTATCAATTTCCTATCGTATTAAACATCACAGATTAAAATGCATGTAGACTAAATGCATGTAGACAGTAATATCTTATTCCCATGACAAGTTTAATTTCAAAGGAGCCAAGAAGGAAGTTGACATATAAAGACAAATGACTATCAAATGGCTGACTTCAGTTCAGGGTGATACCTGAAAATGCTACGTCCAAATTCTTTTCGCAGATGTGTAAGGTAGGATTCTGCTGTATTTAGCTATTCCTCCCGTGACAATTTTAATAGAAGTACCATGCATTTACAGGTCATTCCTATTTAGCAAACCACATACATGCATGCTTAACCTTAATCATGTGATTTCAATGGGGCTTAAGCACTTGCTTAATGTTAAGCATTGGCTTAAGTCTTTTGCTTAACCAAGATTTTAAAGAGAGATGAACGTAAAGATTATGGGTTCATAATATTGAATATCACTGGGTAAATCAGCACACAAAATTTACTTTAAGGCTAAAAGTTCACCTGTGCACCCACAGAACAGAATCCCCCAACACTACACCTATGTACAGAACTGTATGTTAAAGATGGAATGCAAAAGGAAACAGTCTAAATCAGAATCTCCTTGCTTTCATGGATTTGATAGCGTTGAAAAAACTTTAATGCTGATTAATTTTCAGCAAAACAGTTTTTAACAGAGCATAATTACTAATAGCAAGCCTGGAAATTGGTGACCACCCTGGGGAAATCTCACTTTTGTCTTGGCTTATAACATCCATTAACAGGTATCAACATTATTTTCACATTTTTATATGTATGTATTTATTTTTTGCTCCAACATGCACTCCTGCATACCTCTGTGGATGCATATGTACCTCATTTGTGTGTTACAGTCAGTTTGCAGGTGACAACTTATTGACAGTGGTTGATTAGTCCACTAAGATGCTACTGGCAAGAAGTAGCCCCCCCATTCACTAACTCTTCCACCCCGTCAGCTTAACATCTGTCCCCCTTCCTCATAGATGTACACTACACTGTCCAAGGGACCCTTACCTTCATCCAGTGTTCCAGTCTGTTCTGAGGCTGGTGATGGAGGTGGGGAAGGAGGCAGATTAGCTGATTCTTCAACTGCTAGAGATTGAACAATGGAAATGAGACAATGAGATACAGCAATTAATTCCTGGGAGAACACTAGATGCCAAGTACAAGCTGCAGTAGACTTTTCTGGCCACACTGGAGAATAATTTAATGGAGAGTTGTACCTAATGGATTTTCAGATATAGTCCCCTTTCAATTTATCTTTTAAACCTATAATAAAAGGAGAACATTTATTTAAAACATGCATTCATTATGTTCAGAACGATAGTTATGTTTACGACCAAATAATGTCAAATATAAAATGATCAGCCATCCTTTTCGTGTATGTTCCGTCTGCTACATTGATCAATGTTGTTTCTGGAGGAACTTTGGTTCAGAAAACAACAGCAAAATATTTAAACAAGAGGTATTTTTAGGTTGTTTCCTCATCTGTTAAAAGGACAAACAGGTGCCAAATCCCATGCTTAGTCTACCTTTGTGTACCTAGAGAACTAAGATATTGCTGGGTTTTTCGTCGTTAAAGCCTGGATACATTTTATTCATTTTGTTTGTTTGTTTCTGCTTAGTTCAACATGCTCCTTGTCATAATATAAAGGCTACCAGCTGGTGGCACCACTAGAGGCAAGAAGGCATCAATAGGGAATATCAGTCATCACATGAAGGTGCTATTCAGATGCTTAATCTGCTCAAATTTTAGATTAATTCCTAGTCAATATCTTTATATTCCCACTGATGTCAGGAGAAGATTTTTCAATGACTTCAGTGGAAGCAGAATTAAGCCATAAATAAGTTATTTTTAAAACATATTCCCTTTGATTTCTTCACTGCTTTCATAAATAAAGTTCACAGAACTAGTTCTGAGCGAGCATTTCTTCAGTTGGTACTAGGATCTATCAGGTTGGTTTTTATAGAGCTTTATTTTACAAAATTTCCTTCAATAGGGCAGCATTGTATATAACTCTAGCAGGTAAATGGGACTCTATTTGTGATTTACAGCTTGCTCCGAAACCCAGTAAAATCAATTGATTTCCTTTCCATTGACTTCACTGGGGCTTGAACTGGGCCTTTCGTACTCTGTAATCCCAGTACCCCCCATGACTTTTCAATCAAGGAACAGTTTATACAGCTATCTTTGCTGTTGAATAACTGTCACTGAGGTTCACAGATCAAATTTTTGCTAACAGATATTTTTCTCATAGTATGTTCAAGAATGTCTTCACACCCTCACCACATTCTCAGTTCTGCTATCCTTTAGGCCCTACTTTAACAAAGACCTTAAGTATATACCTAAAGTTAAATATATTGAAAGTGTTTTGCTGAATCAGGGGCTTTCATGAAAAAATGGACCTCTGTGAAAGAAGCACTATTGGGCCTTAAGTCTCTGTTGAATAAAATTCAAATAAACTCAATTGTGAAGTAAATAAACGTTGAGATCTAAATTATCAGGAGGCTGCAGCCCTTGCATATATATGCACGCAGATGTAGGCAACAGAAATGAAGATATGATGAATTTGCAAATTTTCTGTCACCCTTTCAGAGTTTCATTGGAAATTTGGCTTTAAGATTTCTACAAGACACTATTCCTTAAATTCTAAATATAAGGATTTACATACAGAAAACCTATGTTAGAAAAAAAGTTATGTTTGCAAACCATACTAAGTACTAAGAAATTAGGAAATGTGAGAAGATTGTCTGTACAATCTTAATTCAACCCTCCTTCTGTATATGTATTATGATACAGTCTTAAATGACATGTTCATGTAATATTTATTCACAGAAATCCTACCTTGTTGAGTGTAGAGGATGGGGGGTGCTTACTGAATGGGTAATTACTCAATACTTCTTTTTCAAAGTGTATGCCTTGCCCTTATTCACTGCACAGTTTCCAAAGCCTGCACTGAATACATAATTATTAATTTCCTCATGGGCTTTCTTACTGCACCCGGCATTGTAGCGTCTGAGTATTTCACACACATGAAAAAAATTATCTTTGCAACACCCTTGCAAGTGGGGATGTTATTACTATCCCCACTTTCTGTATCAGGAAATTGGACTACCAACTGAAGTGCTCACAGGTGCCCATGAATTTTGGATGCAAATTGAAAGTGTTTTTATAGGAATTATATGTTAAATGTACGACACCAATTGAATTCAGTTCGTGTCTTGGTGCTTAGCACCCCAAAATATCTCACTCTGGGCACTGAAAATGCTGAATGTTTCAGTGGACACCTGTGAAGATTTTTTGCAGTGTCTCGCCTAGCATCCCACAGGAACTCTGTGGCAGAGGCACAGAGTAGCATTCAACTGCCAAAACCATGAAACGATCTTTCTTCTGTTCTTGCAATGACTTGCACAATTCAATACATACTTCTGTCTTTCACAGCAAATGCAGCAGAGGCTCTGAATTACCTAAAAGGTGGTTCAAAAGAGGTTGGAGGTAGACTGTTCTCAGTGGTGACAGATGATAGAACAAGGAGCAATGGTCTCAAGTTGCAGCAAGGGAGGTATAATTTGGATATTAGGAAAAACTCTCTCATTAGGATGCTGGCGAATCACTGGAACAGGTTACCTAGAAAGGTGATGGAATCTCCATCCTTGGAGGTGTTTATGACCCGGCTAGACAAAGCCCTGGCTGGGATGATCTAGTTGGGGAGGGTCCTGCTTTGAGCAGAGCGTTAGACAAGATGACCTCCTGACATCCCTTCCAACCCTAATTTTCTATGATTCAATGATTCTATATATTCAAGAACCTAATTCTCTAATCAGTCCTGACTCATTTCCAAGAAGTGTCCATCCCCTCTTCACCTAAGAAATCAGGACTCCCATTGAAAAAAAAGAATATGTAATCATGTAATTAAAGACTGCATCACTCAAAAGGAATGAGAGTTCTAATACTTTAAGAACACTTCAAAAACATTTAAAATAGTTCTACTTTTCATTAAAAAAATACATAGTTAATTTCTGCTTCTTCAGGTTCTCCCAGAGATACAGGAATGGACTATATTGGAAAGCAGGGAACTCCCCTTTATTCACCCAGAATTCAGCCACATAAAACCAGAAGATACAGGGATATGAGCCTGTCGTCAGTTAAGGACTGCATTCTGTCCTCCTTGGCTGTAGGGTAGTGCAATTCTGGAGAATTATTCAGTTGGGCCAAAGGTAGGAACAATGTTGTCAGAATGGTTTAAAAATACTCCAGAGCCCTAGTTCAGGCAATAGTCACCTCCTTGTAGAAACATGGAAGCACCCTCAAAAAATAATAAAGAATTGCGGGGAAGGAGGAAAATGTAGCCCCACCCCTCCTCCCAAGACTGTCAAGACCCAGAATTTGGCAGAGGTTAACCCTTTCCTCCCTAGAGGCACTGGGACCCACAAGACACCCTTGTTCCCTGAGCCACATGATCTAGGTCACAAGAAATATTTCAGAGAGGAGCCTGACCCTCTGGGCAACAGAAATCTCTAGCTGGCTGAGTAGATAAAGAACCAGCAAGGACAGGTGCTGCTGCACAGATTGGAGAAAACCAATGATGCTACTGGATGCTTTCCCAGAGTTCAGTGTGGACATTGTTATATACTGTGACACACACACACACACACACACACACACACACACACACACACACAC